GCTGAAACCTCACTTTGGTGAGGTGTAGCTTTTTAAAGACAGGTGAATAATGCTCTTTTACTGTTTGTTTTTCTTCTCTACCTGTTTAAGGAGATGTCTACATCATTTCACCCACCTTGTTTTTTACAAGCAGATTTTAACATATGTCAACATAGCACTAAAGGTGTTATAATTTACTGAATGACACTCATTGGCAACATGCATAGAGTCTTATTTATGTTAATGACAGGTGTCATGTTATGATTATGACAGTGTAATGTCAGTCTTATGTAAACCCCTTCAATTCAAGTGTTAAACTTATTTGAAGTATCAAAACTCCAGACATTACTATAAGGTCAGCACAGCTCCAGAGTCATATTAACAAAAAGGATGTGGACACTTCTTGCCAATGCTTTCACTGAGTGATAAGAGAGGTGCAGTACGTGTGTTTTTGTTTTTTGTGAATGATTTTGTATGTAATGCATGTTTTTATGGTGATTTAATGTCTAAGCAGCTGACACTCAGGCCCACTGTAGTTGCCACTGTGTGTTTAAATCTTTGCAGTAAAACAACATTTTCTCTGCGTGTGTATCAATGTAATTTGTACGAACTACAGCCTCCTCCCCTCTGCACCAGATAATCTCACAGAGATACTCAAAGCCAAGCGGGAGCTGCACAACAGTTGCAGAGGAAGATAAGTATCTGAGCCAAGAATCCGGATGGTGAGGGTGTGTTTGTGCTGTCTGATGCCTGTGAGCCTGCCACTCTCTCTGGCACAGCTGTGGTTATTTCTCCTCCTCTCCTGTTCTCACCGTCCACTGCCAACAACAAGCCTTGTTTCAATCCTTATAAAGTCACAGAGAGATCGTACTGGCAGCCGTCTGTCAGCGCTGTTCAAGGCACAGTTTTGTGGTCACGCTTTACGCTGCCAGGACACAATCTCATACATATAAAACGAGGAGATTGAAGTGCTGTTTTAATAAATCCACTTCAAATAAAAGTGCTCCTGACTGTAGTGTGGATACTGTCTGTTTGAAACTGCCAGCTTTTTCAGATCTGATTGAAATGACTGTGTGTTCTGTCTGTGCCGCTGGTACGTCTTTAATAGGATCATAACTTTAATTTAGCGACCTGAGTTTTCTTTTCTTTTATTTGTTTGCATGAGTCAGCTGCCATTAAGATATTTAACAGTTTCTTTTGGCATTTTAAGAGTTTCTAATAACATTTTTTTAATCTGATACTGAATCCAATCCCGGACTCATGTTTTGGCTGAGACTCAGCACCCGTACTATGAAGTAGTTTGATTAAATATTTTCTGTTGATGATCTTCACACAAAAACTATTTTTTTTGTTGTTGTTATTATTATTTATTTACTTATTTAATTTTTTTTTTTTTTTTTTTTTGGGGGGGGGGGGGCATACAAAGCAGCACATCCGAGTAAAAATGATAGAAATGACTTTTTGATATTTCTTTACATTTTGGATACTACAGTAACTGGGAGTACGGAACATAGCTCAATCCTGTGAAAAAATAGGTAAGTGCTGATATTCATTACTATCAAAAATAAACAACCAGATAACTCAACAGTTACAACAATTACAAAAACTCTATTTTTGAACACAGTTTGATAGTATTTGGCTAAAGTATGAGAATTTGGACTGAAAAGAATATTCCGGCATAAGTTTAAGCCATGGTCAAGCACTGAGTTGGACCCCCCTCGAGAGATGAATTTAGCCATCTGCTTGCTTCTCTGGTTACACCAACTTCAGCAATGACGATGATAGCAATACACTCCAGTCTATGTCTCCATGTGCAAACCTCAACCAAAAAGCCACTCATGGCCACAAATATTGCTCAGAACAGCACCTAACTTCATCAACAGTACATATAGGGTCCCAGCCATAGTACTAGCCATCAAACATCTTTTTAGCTTTGCCTGGTTTCTTTGGCAAAGAGACCAAACACAACTCACCCACTCTTCTCCAGCAGCCGCTTGTTTGTGGGGGAGCCCTGGTGAGTTGATCACCAAGTGCAGCGGAGTTTCGCAGCTCAATGAAGAAACTTTATGATTATTACTTCATGGAAATGCAATCAGACTGAGATGCTAAGGCAGCAGAACTACTGCATCTGCAGTGCAAAATGATTATTATGATAATTATTACTTCATGGAAATGATTGCTTACAGTTTGATAGTGCAGTCCAGTAGTACAGTTCAACTCCCTGCTGCTGTTCTACTGACCTAACTATGGCTTACTTAAAAAAGAAGTGTATCATCAGCATGCTTAAATGTTTTAGCTTGATTAAGAGAGGAAAGTCATTTGTGAAGATCTGGAAAAGCAGTGGCCCCTAACAACTTCCCTGAGGTATGCTGGATTGCAACTTCACAATTCACTGATTACCATTATAAAATACCTACTGTTTTCTTTTAGACACATTCTTTTTAATTCAATGTAGGGTTCATTTTATCTTCCACAGAACAACTTATAATTAGGTTTGCACTGAAATGAAAATTCTTGGATGAGACCGAAAACTAAAAATGGGGAAACCAAGGCCAAAAAGTGAAACACAGAAATAAACTATGCCAATTATTAGTACCATTGCATTTATGGCTTTGACTCTGTGCTAACCTCACTAAAATCAAGGCACTGCAATTGTATAAGTTAATATTAATTTATATTTAATGTAAAATTAATATTAACTTATACAATTGTAATGTAGGTTTTCAGTTTTTGAGTCAGTGGGTTAATGCATGTTCTGAGTGGTTTACTTCTTTAGATGGAAAAAACAAGGAGAAGTGTTGTGAGCAGTAGAGACACAGCTAGAAGAAGAAGTGGCATCACTGTGTTTTCTTTTAAGCATTCGAGAGCCAGAGCTGAACACGAATTTGCGTTGCAGTGTTGACTTCTGTCAAATCTATGAATAAAAGTGAAAAGAAGTGAAAATTACCCCTCTGTCTGTTTGGATATTCTGCTACAACATCCGCAACAGACAGGGTAGGCATACTCAGAGGGATTTTCCTGCTCTGCCATCTTTTTTTTCTCGTATTCGGGGATGGCAATCAGGATGTTTGGATTTCTGGTGATCGGCCCGACGTATAGGAACTCTTTGCAGATGCACCCCCCTCTTAAAATTTTAGCATTAATTGCTACCCATAGTTCTCAGATACACTGAAGTACATCCACATGGCAGACATGTTGGCCCTTATCCAGGCAAGCGCATGTTGGTCGGGGTTTTTGCTTGCGTCATCAAAACATTGTTTCGGTGAGAAAAGTGTTTAAGCCGATAAACCAAAAATGCACTTTCAGACCATTTTTGACTGAAAAATTTTGGTGCCTGAATTCCCTACTTTAAATGGAGGCAAGTCAATAATTCAGGATTAAAGTTGTATCCTGCATGAAATAGAGGGTTTCAGACATCTTGAAACAAAAAGCAGACAAGAATTTTTACAAAATGTTCATGTGTTTCTTCAACAGATGGACACGTCACTCTTTAATTTGACTTTCAGAGAACACGTTAATTATTTTTAATGATATATATGCTGACAGCCTTTTCTGCTGCCATCATCACAGTATGATGAGTTTCTTAGAGTCAGGGACCAGAGCACAGTGTTTCTGGAGGCTGACTTAGTAACATATGTTTGGAATCTACTTCCTGCATGGCCTTTGAGATTGAGATGAAAAATGCCTGAGGGTAATACAGCAAATATAACACTTAAGTATCATTGTCCATTAGTTTTATGGCACCTTTTTTATTTTAACGGCACCTTCCCAAAGTGGTGAAATATGTTACACTAACACTGAGTGCTCAGACTGAAATGTCAGTGATCACATTAAAGTTCAGACTCTTATCACACTCCCTTTTTTTCCTCCTTATTCCGTCAGTCCATCCATCCCTATCCTTTCTTTGTCTTAAAAACTCTCTCTTTATTTTCCTCTACAGCTCAATTTTATCTCTCCTTTCCTGTCTCTCCATGTCCAATCCATTGCTTTATCTCTTTCCTCGCTCTCAGTCCCTTTATTCCCTTTCTTTCTCTTAGCCCATGCTCCTTTCTTTCTTTCTTTTTTCCTTTCCTTCGTCAGCCTATCTCCATCCATCCCCTTCTCTGTCAGTGTTTTGTACCACAAAGAGCTCAGCGCTGGAACGGATCAATAAACCATCACTTGCATATTGAAAGCCAATGACAGCAACTCTGCTCAGAAGGCTAATTCCTCCCATCTTCAATCCCTCTTCGTTCTCCACTCTTAAAAACCTCTTTTGACCCATCTCATTCAGACCTGGCTTATTATTTGGTTCATTAGAAATGAAACTTAAACAATTCTTAACTGTCCAAAGTGAAGGAGTTTCAGTATGTCAGGATTTTTTTCACAATGAGGTTGAAATCATGGGCTTGGCAGGTGTGTTGGTGCAGCCTCAGCAGTAATAAAGGCATTGTACCAGACTGTCAGGGTGAAGGGAGAGCTGAGCCTGGAGGCAAAACTTTCAGTGGGTCCACGTCCCCTCATGAACTTTGGATGAGGACTAAAAGAGATTGTACTTACAAAGAGCTGGAATGAGTTTCCTCTGCAGGGTGTCTGGGCTCAGCCATATAGATAGATTTACCAGCTTAAACATCCAGAGGTAGGCCAGAGTAAATTGTACTCGTGTATTGGACTGAGCCAGTTGGGTGGTTCAGGCATCTGGTCAGGACCCTCCAAGTGGTCTGGATAATAATAACCACAATAATAATACATTTCATTTATGTATGCCTTTCAAAACATTTAAGGTCACTGTATAGACATACTTTAACATGAGCAGCAATGTCAGTAAAAAGCAGTTCAATTACAATTACATTCAATTACATTTTCATCAGACTCTGATTTGAGGACCAGGACAATTAAGAGCAGGCTGGACATTTTCAGTGGCACACATCATTTTTTCTTCTGCTTCTGCTTAAAGTTAACTGATTGTTGTAAAACTTTTAAAATCTTAGATTTGAAACACTTTCAGTTACACCGTGAGAGGCTCATTTCAAAGACTTAAGTTGCAAATTTGGCAGAGGTACATTGAAGTGCATGAACATTATCAAACCAGCAACCAGTGTTATCGTCACATGAACCCAATTAATGGCTAACAGCTAGTGCACAGTGATGCTTCATATGATAAAAGTCTATTCATTTGTTAATGCATTATAAGATTGTCATAACATAAGAAGTGTTTGTTACTCTCATCGGCACACAGTGCTGGTGCAGAAGATGTCTATGAACACTGAACAGCTTTTTGTAATCCACTGTTTAAGGCAAAATAAATGACACTTTCCCTTAAAGTAATACAAAATCAAAAAGAAAAGAAAAAAAACTATTTTATTGAGGAGTGTGCTTTCTGTATTTCATAATTTTCTTATTGTGCCTTTATGGACAGCAGTCACTGTGTCTCTTCACTTTATTTTTTAGGTCCAAAGACCACCACTGCTTGCTTTCTTACTCTCTGTTTCTGAAACATGTTTCCATTGGTACTGAGCATGTGCAACTCTGGACAAAGATAGATATGAAATGAGATAACTCACTAGCAAGCTACCTTTAGGCACAATCGATGTGCTGTTACATTATTTTATGTGTTAGATTTGTGTATGCTGCTTGGGTTGGAGCCACTTAGAGGTAGCCTACATGCTGGTTTAAGCCTGGGGGTCGCTACCCAAATAGCCTGTGTGTTAAGAGTCTGGATTTCCATCTCCTGGAGCATCTACTATGAGGTAGCTTTCCTGAGAAAGAGAAGGGTCAACCCTGCTCTGCAAGGTAAGATGGACCACAGACAAACTTAGCATGATTATACACCGTTTGGAGATTCATATTTCCGAGTCTAAAGCAGTAACCAAACTGTTCCTGTAATAGTACAGTGGTTCAGATATGTTTGTATTCCATTGAAGAGAACAGGTTTTCAGGTATTTGGTATTTGCAGCCTTTATTAAAATGTTTATCTGAGTTTTGGTCAGCCTGTGTGCCTCACTCTCAATCTTTATACACTAAAATAGCTTACACCAAACATAAAGACTGAGAATCTTTTCCTGTCAGCTAAAATGGGATTTGGTCATGTTTCTTTTAAATTAATTTAACGTGTACTGCAAAAACAGGTGCTGTATTGCAGAAAAACACAACTCCCAGGACACATAGGAAATGTAAATGCACCAATAAATAACCTCACAATAAGCTGCAGTATCAGCGTGTGGACTGTGCACATTTCTGACAGCAGAGTTGAAAGAGTTTTACTCTGACATAAACACCTCAAAGAGCTTTTATTCTCATGTTCCTCCAGTTTTTTATGTCACACATCTCAAAGTGAACAGCATGTCTGCCTGCAGAGCAAGTACAAGGCTAATTAGGAATTAAAGGAGTAAAGAGGGTTATTAAAGCACGGCGACGTTACTTTGAACAATAAAAACTGAATTAAAAGTGAGCTGGAGGCTGTTTCCCTCTGCTGAGCATGCAAACATCATATATCTGTGAGGAACCTGCTGCTCTCTACCTACAGGTTGGCTCATTCTTTGTGTTTTTAACTCAGATCTGTGTGTGTGTGTGTGTGTGTGTGTGTGTGTGTGTGTGTGTGTGTGTGTGTGTGTGTGTGTGTGTGTGTGTGTGTGTGTGTGTGTGTGTGTGTGTGTGTGTGTGTGTGTGTGTGTGCGTGTGTGTTCATGTTACACAGCTTTTTCTGCCTCTGCCCACTCACATCAGGACTCAGACCTCAGCCATTTGTCTTCACAATGGTAGAGAGAGCTGTGATGGCTGTAAAAATAAATAGACGGGTGTGTGTGTGGGTGTGTGTGTGTCCAGTGTTTGCTTTGGAAATGTCAGCTAATCGATTTGGGGCTGCAGTGATTTGTTAAACACAATATCTCAGATGGATAACCATGAGTTATATAGCCCAGGTCTCTCTATTTTTCATCCTCTACATCTGTCTCTTTCTCTATCTTCCTGGAGTTTCCCTTTGTGTCTTTTTCTTTCTCTCTTTGTATACTCTGAAATCACAGCAAAAATTGTGTAGCACTCAAGTTACATTTTAGATATGTGTAAATATAAAACACAAAACATACCAGAGGATATCATCAGATCCGAAAAATTACAGGAGATAAACAAAAAGAGTGCAGGAGGACTGGGCGCAGTGGCAGAGTGGCAGTGGAGATGGCAGGGCTGGAGGCAAACAGAAATAAACAGTAAGGTTAGAATTAGTTAGCAGGTCAAAAAATCTTGAATGCTAGTCCAACAGTCAGTATGTTTACGTGACACTCAAGAACACTGAATTATTGTCTTACTCCGATAAAGACTGGACAACTGAAGTGCATGTAAACACCTCAGTCCCACTGTAATCGGAATTTCAGAACTCCGATTGAAGTCGGAGAACTCAGATTAAGACAACCAGTTAATGGGATTGGAATTCGTTTTTCTCTACCATGTAACCAGCATAGTCGGAGTATGATCGGACAATGTATGTGCGCATGTGCCACGCCCCCTTAACCCTGGAATAAAAACACCAGAGGAGTAGCGTGCATCTCATCTGGAGAAAAAGTAGCGTGTACATCCTGTACGACAAAAACAATGCAGTACGATGCTCCATCTTCTTGCTCAAAAATGCCCAGAAGCAGTTGTAGCAGTTGGCACAGACCTGCTATTGTTGTTGACAGTTGTATGGGGTCGGAAACAGCGCAGCCCAAAAGACCCATATTGACCCCTAGTTTTGGGGAGGAGGACTAATTGTCGGTGACCCTGCATACCCCTTACTAGACTGGCTGATGAAGGGGTACCCAAATTCCCCTTGCATAACCCCAGAGGAGGAGTCATTGAGTGTCTATCTCAGCTCAGCCAGGGTAGGTGTTGAGAAGACTTTTGGAATGCTAAAGGCGAGGTGGAGGGTTCTTCTGAAGAGAAGCGACTTTCACTTTACCTTTACACCAAAGATGATTGCCACATGCTGTGCACTCCACAATTTTTGCCAGAAGGAGAACGACAGCAACAGAAACTGGTTGGAGGAGGCTGCTGACCTTACAGCTGACTACCCTCAGCCCATCCAGCCGGAGAATAACCAGGGCCATGGAAGCAGAGCAAGGGAGGCACTGAAGAAATATATGACCACTCACTTCCCACTCCGTAAAGGGCAGCAGCACTAATATGGGCTCTGTGTTTTTGGACTGTCCTCAACTAATATTAAGGACGTGTCATTTAGCAGCAGCAGGCTGGCTCAACCAATCAGAGTCCGTCGAGCCAGCCTGCTGCTGCTAAATGACACATCAGAAGACAAAATGAATGTATTTAAACTGTCCTCAGCTATTTGAGTTTTGTCACAAAAATGCCCTGCTGGCAGACTGATGGACAGGTAACCGAATGTTTCCTTTACTTTTTTTGTTCTAGTTTCTCACTTTGGTAGCACTTTATTTTGTGTACTGCATTGTGATTAGAACGTTAGATTTCCAGTTATAATCTATGCAGTGATGAGCAGTATTGAAGTACTTTTGGGGGATACTTTTACTTTCACTCCGCTACATTTGAAGGACAAATATTGTACTTTTTACTCCACTACATTTCTTGTAGCCTAGTGGAGTAAAAAGTACAATATTGATTCTCCTATGACCTGGTACTGTTGCTCTTACATCAGCTGATGAAGTTTTTCTTTTATTTTTTGCTCAATTCTGTTATCCTAGAAAATATGTTTCTGCTGATTCATGTATGGTTTGTCTTAGTTGTATCTTAAGCCCATGTTCCAGGTTTTTGAAAAGAAAAATTATTCATTGCTATTTTTGAGCTATAAATAAACATTTCTATAGCAGAATCTGCATCAGTGGATTAACTTTACAGATTTGTGGTACAGAGTTTCAACAGAACAAATCCTGATGTATCTTTGTTTATTGCTGTAGTACAAGACCAACAAATAGTATTAAAAGGTATTATCACCAAAAACTGAAATCATGGTACCTCTGTAATACAACAAGTTTTTGAGGTATTATCACACATACACAAAAAAAGTGTAAATAAAGTCATGTCAGGGGCCTGACAGTTGTGCTAAGGAAAATGACAAGTGTCATGAAAGTGTTGAACTGCAACCAAGAATTGCAATAAACAATTGATATTTAGAGCTCATACCAATGTAAAAACAAAAAGAAATTGACACAACAGTAAACATTGGATAACAAGTGTCATTTGTAATCATTTGTAATCCTTTTTCCAGCTAACCGAGGTCTTGCATGCTGTATTCTGACTCTGGGCTCAGAGAATACGGAGCTGTATAGATGTAGCCTGGGTAGGGTTGAGGGGGTGTCGGAGGATGGTAATGGAATGGTGGACCTGGCTGTGGAGGTGGAACTGGCTGTGGAGGAAAAAGGGTTTTAAGACAATCAAATAACTGACCCACAAGACACTAATTTGAGCGGGAGCTTTGTTCTATAAAGCGTTCGAGGAACAAGGCGTCCCTTTCTTGTTGTTTTTGTTGTTGTTCTTCCCATGCACGTTGAGACTCCTGCAACTTCAGCATGAAGTCCTGATGTTCAGTAGACCAGAGGCCTGTACTACGAAGCTGGATTTGGTCTTAGCGAGATAACTTATGGATAACTTCTGGGTTTTCTGTACTACGAAGGTGGATCTCTTTTTATCCGGGTCCGTTGCCCCGGTAACTTACGCGGAACGCCAAACCTGCTCCGGAGCAGGTTATGTTTCAGGATAAGATCTCAGCAGGTATAAAAAACCGCCCACTGACCAATCGGATCTCTTGGAAAATGTCTTGCCCACTTTTGCCGGATCCCGGGGACATCGTTGCACGGATAGTGAGAGGAGCGCTTCGCCGAGAGCGTTATATTCATGATCGTTCAAATCCGTTTGATTTACCTGATGACGTTCTCTATGAACGTTACAGGTTTTCCTCGGACGGCCTCAATATTCAGGTAGCATGAAGTCTAAGCAATACACTAATATTTGCCAAGCTCCAGGTTCAAATTTGTTAGTCATCTTTCAGAATTCATTGAAGCAGATTAGAAAACTCTTAACCCCAAATGTGTGCAGATGACGTGACCATCAGATGATGGAGAAAAAAAAAAGGCAGTGTGAGGAAATCACTGTTTACGCGTTGAAATATGTACAAATAAAATCTTTCAATAAACTTACAAACTACTTAAAAGGATGTTTTTAGATTTATTTTTATTTGCTCCCACGTACTCTTTTCCCCACTGCTGTTGTATCTGAAATAAAGAGGTCAGTGATGGTGGTGATCACACACGCTGCATGACAATATATTAGGGGGCCATAAATTTATGAACGCACAAATGTAATTTACACAAGCGGTGATTTTTTTTGCCGGCAGTCCCTCCGGCTTTTAGCGGCTGTGTCTGTCTCACTGTTTAAATAAAGCTCTGTTCTTCAGCTGTGAACAATGACGTGCAGCCTTCTCCATTGTGGAGATTGGTCCGGTGGCACTGACCCGACCCCCTTTACGTGTGCGCGCACAGATCTGAACTGGATTCAGTTATCGAGTTGATATCCTGCTTCGTAGTACAGCTGATCGGGATCGCGGAGATCCGGTGAAGTTTAGCGAGTTGTCGCAGAGTTATCCTGGATGTGTTAATCCAGCTTCGTAGTACAGGCCTCTGGTGCAAAGAGCTTTGGCATAAGCAGATGACTGTTGTGGTTTGGATCCTAAGTATATTGAAATATGACATTAGTAAGAATGAATTCATTCAGCTCCTTTCATTTTACATTCTAATTGTAGTTTCTCTCTGTCTCTGGTGCATTTCAACAAGTCAAGACAAAACTCACTTATTCAATCATCAGACTAGGCTCATGCGTCTGGGCTGTTTTACAGCATTTACTCTCTAACATGGCTTACTCTTCGTGGTGGTCCATGTCTTTGAGATAGACTCGTCTTGGTCCGTGGTGCCTGCGGTCTCATTCTCGAGCTCTGTCGTGCCTGGGGGCTCACTCTCTTGTTCTGTGGTGGTAGCAGTCTCATTTTCCTCCTCCAGAGATGCTCCTGGGCTTGGCTCTCCACCAAAATACTCCTCATCTGTGTGGTGAAAATAAAGACTTACTGTTAGGGCTACACAAAATATTGTTTATGCAACTTCATCACACAGGCACACATCACACAAGTACACAGGCAGCAATTGCAGAAAGTACAATTTCATGATATCCAAAACACACACACACATCTTTAATCAAAGATAGGTCTACATTTCATTTTATCTGAATGGATTTCTTAAGCTATTAACCTGTATTTAACTTGATAGCATTATGAATGTAATGCAGAGGGATCCGCTAACATATTACACATAATGTATGGATCTCAAACTGACATTTCATTTCATTTACTTTATTGTCCCCTGCAGTTACAGTACAAAAGAGATATCATTCTAATGTTATGATCTTTGCAGTGTGTGTTTGTGTATGCAAGAATTAACATTAGACTACACACCAGTCCCGTCACAACAAACACCATCGTGTTTAGATGGTTAACGTTGAATGAGGAATGAAGGACATAAAACACATGCACACAAACAGGCTAACTAATGCTAGGACATTATTCATTAATTAACTTTTTGCAGACTCATGGTCCATTAAAAGAGTAACGGTACAACAAAAAAACATAACGTTCAGCTAACATCAGGTAAGGGTAACAAATATGATACATTACATTAGACCCACCTATGATGCTTTCCTCCAGGGCAGGAGCAAACCCAATGTCCACACCATGGCTCTTCACATTAGCCATTGGTCTGCCTTCCATCACTTCGTCCATCAGACGAAAAAATGGGAAATTTGAAAGATTGTAACCGCTTTTTTGGTTCTGGACTTTAGCTTTGTAATACGCCGTTTTTAGCGCTTTCCAGCGTGTTTTAATTTGCTCGATAGTCCTGTTCACTCCTCCGGCCTCCAGCATTTCATGTACTTGTTTGAACAACTCTGTGTTTCGTGACTTCCTAGGTGTTTATATGAGACATTTTTAATCTGATTGACCTTTCAATCTGATTATAAATAGGATTTTTGGACCCATGTAAACAGGGCCACTGAGTTCATACTGAAGCTGCAGATGAGAGTTGTGGCTGACAAGCTGATAATTAACAGGTGCGTAGATGGCACAGGTGAGTTGATTGGAGGAGGCACCCAACCCACACTTACAAAGACAAGAGAAAACAAACAGTCAACACAAACCCAGACAAAGGGGGAGGGTCAACATAGCAGAAACAAGGGACAGACATTGCAGACCGTTACACAGGGTTTTGCTGCTCTGAAATCACTTTTTTATTCATGCGTCTACGCTTCATGTTTGCAGTCACAGTGTTGTTAACTTAAGGTGACCATATTCTGAATCTCCAAAAAGAAGACACTGCTATGCAGGGTGGAGTCACGGAGTCTTGTGTAGTAAATTTTAAAAGTTTTACCTGCTTTTAACTCAGCTAGTCCACATGACACAAACTCAAAACTTCCATACAAAACCCCAGACAAGGCCAGACAGACCAGACAGCCCCCCAAAAGAGGACATGTCCAGGTAGAAGAGGACATATGGTCACTGAGGAAGGTGGAGACTATTCTAAAGAACACGGATCACCCACTTCACAACACCTTCATGGACCAAAGGGCCAATGGTGGTGGATGGCTCCTCTCTCTTCGCTGCAGGACAGAAAGATTCAGAAGATCTTTTGTACCAACAGCCATCAGCCATTATAACTCTTATGTAAATAATAGATAACTTTTATAGACATATTATGTGAGACAACAGACAATTAAATTTCCCCTTCGGGGATTAATAAAGTTCTTCTTATCTTATCTTATCTTATCTTAGTTTACTTGAAGTGACCATATTTGGTTCAGGGGGCAGAAAGGAGAGAGGGGTTAGCAAACAGTTTATGCCTGAGGCTATCTCCTTACCTCCTTGTAAGGCTGTTAAAAGGACATTCAGTATTTTTAATGTGAGGTTGTTTGAGTGGTCTGGGACTACCAAGTGTTTTAGCCATAATACATGTCAGCTCTGCCCCTCATGTCACAACTGCAGGGAGGACATGCACTCAGGCTAGGCTACAGCTTTCTGCGGGCAGGGTCCAACTTTCTGTTTGTACCAGCAGTATCTTTTAGGAAGCTGAGCTGACTGACAGTTATTGGGGCTCAAACACTCACTCGGGACACGCTACAGAAATATCCTTTTTAGTGTGATGGCCCTTTTTATACCGGTGGTCTAAACATTGATTGGTTCATCAGTAAACTCTTGCTCTATGTGCTCTTTTTGTGGGTTAACTTGGAAAGTCAAAAACCCATGCATCATCAAATGACATGATTACATGTAGAAATACTACATGGCATCTACTGATATGCACAGTTCTTCACTGTTGAGCATTAAACTAGCATTGGACTTTACCAATTCAGAGTCCGATTCTCAATATCAATTCCTGTTCTAAATGATTCTCGATTCCTATTCTTTGAGATGGAAGTCAACAGGTCACAGCCTATTCATCAGGAGAATTTTTTTTTCATTTGAAAAAGCCTTAACATAGGCCAATTTATTCACATTGCCAGTTGACATTAATGTAGCAGAAGCAGCAAAAGCAGCAGGCTGTGACTGGCTGACGTTAGCATCACTTTGCAAGCATTCAACAACTATAAACAGATATACACAGTTTTAAGAATTGGTCATCTATAACTTAAGCAGGTTTGTTAAGAATGAGACAATCATAATTTTCACCTACCAGATTCTGTTTGCAATGAGGAGTTGCTGGCTGATGATGAAGATTGACTGTCTGAAGTGGAGGAAGCAACGGAAGCAGGAGAGAGTCGCAATGAGTTAAACATAGTACATTTGCTAAGTGTTATACCATACAAGCGATGGTGATTTGTCATGTTTGTCGAGCATCCCCCTTTGGCAGAAATTGTTTTTTCACAGATGCACTGTGCTACTTTGCCCTACTCTTTCAAATTAAAATGAAGCCAAACTTTCAAGAGTTTTTTGTGCCCCATGTTCAGACGACATTTTTTCTTGCTAGCGGACGCACAGAGAATGCTGAGCAGATTAATACACACCCCGAAAACGAACTAGTGTACAAAAAAAAAAAGAATTGAAATTCAAAAATTTGCCTAATGGTTCTGGTACCCAACCCTAGTAGGAAGTATAGGTGTAGGATTATCGGAGACAGAGTCTGTTACCACTGAGCCAATCAACCAGTTCTGACATGATAAGATGGGTCAAAGACAGACTGTGCGTGATCATACAGCCATTGGAGATTAAATTAGACCTACAGTCTTTACAAATATGTATTTATATTAAACCTTTAATTGGACCCCGAGACTGTGTTACAACCGGAGGTTGGCAGAAAGTCACTTTTTTGAGATTTTAACTGTGAAGTTAAAACTGAGAAATAAACTATGCAGACTTCGACTGTTTATAGGCTGTAAACATGTTTATTTCAACTGGGAAGTTGAACATTTTGACATGGGGCTTTGTGGAGACTAATTGCAGGACACAGCCTCAAGTGTACACCCAGCCTTCCAAACTTTATTGCTTGCATCATTTTTTCCTGGATTCTCTTAGTTTGCATGTACAAGATGCAGAAGGAGTTAAAGTTGGCATACAGCACATGCATGCACTTCATGTGTAGGTAACAAAGATGCCAGAGAAGCATTTTTTTTCAGAGAGATGTGCTAGTGTTGACAAGGATTTTATATGTTTTTGCTGATCTGCACATATTCAGTGTGTTTGAATGTGTGTAGCTGTGAGTTGGTACGTGTTTGATGTGTGTTTACCTATATGCTTCTGGAAACAGTCAACTTGTGTTTCAGACTGCATGAACACCTATTCATGTAAACTCTAGATCATGTCAGAGCTGTCATGAGAAACTTGCTGACCTCCATATAATTTCTGCATCTTTGTGTGTTGGTGTGTGTGAGTGAGCATGTGTATTTTTATACTTGTGTGCACATTTTGCTTTGTCTATCATTTGCAGATTATCATTCAAGTTCTGTACATGACTAAGACCAGTGTGCATCCTCATGTTTAAATGGCTGTATTTAAATAATGTTAGCACTGTTTGTCCTTCATTGTACTTTGATTGTAACTGATTTTCACATTACATGTATTTGCTTTATTTCCAGCTGTTTATTCTGTTTAACAGCCTGGAGGTGGATCCGTGAGAAAGTCTCTTCCTCCTCAGCTTGGCTTAAAATTCACTCAGGCTGTCAGCTCTTTGAATTACCGCACAGAGAGACGGCTCATTTACATTTATTTATTCAGAGCGTCCGTTAAAAACAGCCGAGGGAGAGAGAGAGAAACACGTCGGAGAGACAAGCTGAGTGGGAGTTTGTAGAGAAGATGGAGGGGGAAAAGTCAAAGAGGAAAGTTTAACTCAACTCATCTGTCACTCATCTGAACTTTTTCTATGTGATGGAACATCTTTGATTGTTTCTCTTTTCATGTGATCCACTTTTCATCTCAACTTTTTTTTCCAAGTGGTTTGCGAATTTGATATCAATTTTCAGAGTTTTTATTTTTTTTTATTGTCATTACTTTCAGCAACTCTGAGTTGGGTTTTGCACCCTCTGTAGACAAAGAGGTACATTTTCTGTTTTCGCCAATCTTGTCTTGCTCATATTAAAGTCTTTTCTGGAGTCTTTAAATTTTGATACAAAAGGTTTATCAACTATTATAGTCTAACAACACCACAGTAGTTGTAATTTTTTGAGGGGTATAATTGGTAAGTGCTTCTGGTATGAAACCAGAGGGAGCTTAGACATTAATGAACACAGGCTTACTGTCTGTTCCTCTGGATTCAGAATAACACGTCACACTCTAACATGACTCTGTGCCAACGTCAGCAAGAACAGTATGTTCTCAGAGGGTCAAATCTGAAGTGTCAGCCTCACAGCAGATTTGATATATTAAGGTGCGAGGAAAAGATAAGAATAACTATATTCCTGCTGTTTTTAAAGGAGTGAACACCCTGATACTGACTCAGAAGATACACGTCAGTCAGTGTGTCTGAAGGAGTGAAAACTCAACAACGTAATTTAAAGGTATATCATCATGTTAAACAGAGAGGCCAAAGAAAAAAAGGAATAACACAAAAAAGGGGAAAATTAAAGAAGTAAAATGTAGAAAAAAATGTTTTTTCAATATCAGGGATAGCAACCACAGAGTCCAACAAGCACACTCTGATGGACGTGAAAAAAGACGTGCTAAAATAAATCACCCACAGATGGATCATAAAATTAAAGGTGTGAGAATGTGCCGCATTGTGACCAACAGACAAACATCAAAGCTTCCCATTATGACCAACACCTGTGAAGTGTGCTTGGAGAGCTCTGGTTTCTGCTCTGTGAAGAACCAAGAGAGCCAATGGCTGCTCCTTTCAAGTGGGCCCTGAGTTGCCAAAGTTTGGGAACCACTTGAACAGTGCTCAGTTTTACAGTATGTGCATTATATATCTTATTTTGATGTAATAAACTGACTAGTGCTGTCTTACTTCTACAAGAACTCCAAAGTTGATGCTTGGGCTGCTGGGTATGATATGTTCATACAGTAGTATGAACCAAACATCAGCATAAGAGCGTCACTGAAGATTCTGATGTGGCCATTCACAATGGTCTGGTCAACTGATAAACTGAGCCAGAAGACTGTGACTCCAACAACTAAATTGTCATCTTACAACTGAGTCCAGAACAACAATAACAATCAAAGTAATAGTAATAGTTTTCTGTTTCTTGGTTTTAATATATTGTGGTGGAGAAAGACAAATATTCATACCACACATAGCAATATATGGTGTACTTGGAAGTCCAGCATAGTCCACTTCAGAGGGCAGGGTTGTTTGATCCACTTTGTAGAACATATGTTGTTCTTCTTCATTTAAGTACTTGAGGAGCAGTGGAAGAAACACTTAAACATTCACATCTGCA